CTTTATGCTAAATCTGATCACGTCACGTCCTAAATTCACACGTACAAGGAGTCCTCCTGATGAGACCTTGACTTATCTGTTCCACTGAGAGCAGAGCGTGTTGAACCAAAGCTGAGGGGCCTCGTGTTTTGCCTGTGCTGAGAATGAGCCCCCCTTGAGCAACCGGTGGGCAGTTACAGCTGTGGCTGCAAGTTGCTGCTGTGGTGAGAAGTGGGTACGGATACCACCGGCTCGGATGCGTCATAGCCACTGACCCTCAGAGTAGGTCGTATTCCTAATTTATAGAGCCTTTGTCCCTTTCTACTCCGGGAATAGCTTCAGCAGATTCGGCTGTGGTCCTTTATTTTCCTCAAGATGCACAAATTCATCTGGCTGATGTGGTTAGATTTGGGCTTGAAATGGTATCTTCCTTCTTGAACCCTATTTTGGGGCTAAATAGTGACATGTTGGAGGAAATTTCTCATACTGCTGCTTGCTCTTTTTTTGGAAAAACTGGAATTATAGCAAAAAGCTTTTGTTGATGATAAGGAATCCAGTAGACAAAAACTACCACAGCCACATGCTGCCAGGCTCGACGAAAGAAGAGTCTGTTTAGAATTGCAGTAAATGTGTCGATAAACACAAATCAAATGCAAATTAAATAAAAGCTTTTCATATACTCCATTCTCCTTGAGATCAGACAAAAATAAATGCCACATAAACAAATGGGTTTTATGAAATGTTCCAAAAATAAAACCACTCTTGCAAAGAGGCCAAAAATGAGATCGTCTCCATGTCTTTCCAGCTGCTAGGAGCTGTTATTTCTCTTTGTATCACAATAATACTCAAAGATTTTGGTTTAAATTGAAACCAGTTGTGGCAGGTAGGGTAAAGGGGTTGCTAAAGAGTCTCAACCCAAGTGCCACAGCATGGAAAATGCCAGAGCTGAGAACAGAGCACGAATCTGCTTCCCAGCTCAGTGCCTCTCGTCAATAAACCTGTGTTGCCTCTTACATAGGAGAGTTCTTATCTGAAAGAAATATCTTTGGCTTTAAAGCCAATCTGCAAAGGAAGGTAAGTTACATTCAGGTCTTTTTTTTTTCCTCTCTCTTTTTTTTTTTCCTGTGAGAAGCCCAGGAAATAAGATGGAAAGCGCTGAGAACAGACGCTGCATGACTCGTAGTTTTATCTCAGCCTGCATCCCTTCTTCAAAAGCAGTAAATGATATTTCATCATCATCTCTCCAGGGGGTGAGGACTGACTAAAGGCAGTCACACAGGTACCAAACAAAAAGCCCCAAGCCCAGGAAGCCTTGTTTCCTCTGGGAAATCCTGAGATCATCCCAGGATAAGCTCATTGATTTTACTAAAAAGCATTAATATTAAAGCATCCAACACACTGTTGATCTACATGGGTGATAATTAATAAATGATAAAGTAAAACACAGGCTGATGGCATGATCTCTTGGCTGCTTTGTCTTCCAGCAACATTTGATGCAATTTAATCCAAGCACTCAAGATGTTTCATTTAAAAACATGTGTGTTGTATGTGATACCTATGTATATACCGCTGGTATTGAGCCAGGAACCCCATGAATGTACCAGGCGTGACCCTGAACGGCCAAGCAGCCAAACCATTTTGAATCTGAATTCCCTTCAATCCCACAAAAAGGTTCTACCATGCTGCTGGAAAATGGCTCTTCCCATGCCCAGCGAGCCACTCCGGCAGAAACCTCTCCCAATTCTAGCAGCTCGGTGGCTGGATGTGGTTTCCATGGAAATAGACATCAGATCAGCAAAAAACAGGGCAAGTGTTTAAAATAATCTCTGTTTTGAAAGCTTTATGCATTTCTGTCACAATATTAACCTTCCTCAAGGTAGGATTTTTTTTTTTTTTTTGGTGCAAAATCCTTGGTTTTAAGAGTGTGCACAACAAGGGTGGGTCCCCTCAGAAAAGGCCTTTCTTTTTCCGGTATTTAGGGTACGGACACTGCTGTGCTGGGCTTGCATTGTAGCAGAAGATTTGTGCTGTTCTCTGGCCATCTGCCTTTTGTGCCTAGTGACTCTTGGTGTAACTCAAGTGACTGTAGCATGGAAACTACCACAGGAATTGTACAGAAGTCATTTGTACGGAACATGTGAAAATGCAGCCAGTTCATTTAAAGCACGTTTGGGAGCGAACCACTTATCTACGCTTGGCAATAGCGTTGTCTTGAGAAGGGAACTGCTCACAATGCAGCCCTTAGGACAAGAATGGATTGTCTTTGCACAGCCATTATGTACATACTATGGAATCTGCATGAACGATGGCTTTTCTGGATGTGATTTGACTTGCTGGTGCCACCCTAAAGGAGAGGGTGGCCATGTGGCTGTCCACCAAAACACACTGCCAGGGGCTGTGGGGCCAGCGCGTTGTCAGACCCACAGATCCTCTTTGGGGTTGGCCTGTGGGGGCTGTGACCCTGAGGTGACCAAAGGAACACCATGGTCATCTTGGTGATGACCGAGAGCCCTGAGTTTATTGTGGCCCTGAGATAACCAGCTGGCCCTGAGGTGACCATGCCCTCATGACCATGGCCCCGAGATGACTGTGGCCCCAAGGTAAGTGGTGATGACCCTGAGGTGACCATTGGTCTTGAGGTGATCAAGGGCCCTGAGGTAGGTGACCATGGCCCTGAGGTAAGTTGCCATGGCCTTGAGGTGAGCATAGTCCTGAGGTGACCAAAAGCCCTGAGGTGACCATGGCCCTGAGATGAGTGGCCATGGCCATGAGGTGACCATGGCCCTGAGGTGACCGTGGCCCTGAGGTAAGTTGCCACGGCCATGGTGTGACTGTGGTCCTGAGGTGATCGTGGCCCTGAGGAAAGTTACCGTGGCCTTGGGGTGAGCATAGTCCTGAAGTGACCGAAAGCCCTGAGGTAAGGTGACCATGGCCCTGAGGTGACTGTGGTCCTGAGGTGACCATGGCCCTGAGGTAAGTGGCCATGGCCCTGAGGTGATCGTGGCCCTGAGGAAAGTTACCGTGGCCTTGGGGTGAGCATAGTCCTGAAGTGACCGAAAGCCCTGAGGTAAGGTGACCATGGCCCTGAGGTAAGTGGCCATGGTCCTGAGGTGACCATGGCCCTGAGGTCAGTGGCCAGCCCCGAGGCGACCATCTGAACCACGGCTCCGCTCCCACCAAACGCCCCCGAGGTGAACGGGCGACGCTGACCAAACGAGGCCACCGCACCACAGCCCCGCTCCTCCCCACCACCCGGGGGTGGGAGACAAAGGGAGTCCCGCCGCCCTCCGGCTGCGGGCGGAGAGGGCGGCGCGGGAACGCACGGCCCCGGGGGGGCCCGCGGAGACGAGGGGCGTCGCGGCGAGGTCCCGCACCCTCCACCCGGGCCCCACCGGGCCGCGGGGGTCGCTTCCCCTCGCCGCAACCGCCCGC